AAAAAGAAAAAGTGTTTATAAATTTAAATTCATTTCTCTTGTACTTTTCCATTGCTAAAATAATGTAAAAATATAACTCAAAGTTTGGAAGTTAATGAGTTATGCAGTGGTACTTTTTATTTGCACTTTTTTTTTCTGCAATCCTTTCAACATAAAATGAAAGAGATGAATTACGGTATTTCATTGTGGTATCTCTCAGAAAAATTACTTCCAAAGAAAAGATTACAGTATCTCTCAGAAAAAAAAAAAAAAAAAAAACTAAGCGGGAGAAGTTGAAAATTTTTTGGTGGGGAAATTGTCGTTTTTTGTTGGCTTTTTTTTTCTAATATTTTTTTTGTAGATAAAATTTTTATATTTTGTTAGCTTCAGTTGATCAAATGAAAAGAGAACCGGATATGCGAAAAGAAAAGTAACGAATTGAATTCAAAAATTTAATCGGAAGTGATCAGGGAATAAGAAAGTCTGACAGAATATCAGCTAATTGAATGTGACGTAAAATGACAAATAGCTTTCTTTCATTTGCTGGAATATTTATGAATAATTTTTATCCTATTTTTTTCATTTCTTAATTTGTTTTTATTTCTATGTTTTCTCGCATCTCTCCTACAAGTTAATGTAATTTTAAAACTTCATTTTATTTTTCCTTCCCTTTTTTTTTATTGTAGAAGAAAAAAAGTAAGGGAAAGGGAAAACAATACTTTTGTTTTTGAGAGGCGAATTGCAAGAATTTTCCTTTTTTCAATTCAATAAATTTTCAAAAAAAAAAAAAAAAACTGTTCCATTTCCACAGTACGCTTCTTCTTTTTTTTTTCCAACAGTTAAATTGCTAAAATTTCAACTTTTAAAAAGAAAAGAGGAAGGAAAATGTTCGAATGACCTTCTTCTTCAATCAGTTTTCATTTAATTACCTTAATTATGCGTAATATATCAATGTTTCCTTTTCCGTAGTAACTAAAAAAAAAAGGAGAAAAAAAAAACGAAATAAAACAACAGATGCTTATCCATTTTAATCAACCCCAAACAAGTCTGGTTGTTAATTTTTCCATCTTTAACATCAATCTATTTGATCTTCTTCATTTTCTCTCTTTTTCATCCTTTTAAATCTCAAATTATATTTCATCATGTAGTCTGATTATGGTAATTTACACTCTTTTGTGATGATATATATTTAAAATCATCGGGATATTTAGTATTTCTTGCAATTCTAACTTTTAATTTCCTTCGAAATTTTCAAATTTTCAATTTTTTTCCTTTTAAATTACTTTTTTAGGAAATTTTGAATTTCCAAAAACAAAAAGAGAAAAGAAAACAAAGATTTCGAAAAGAAAAAAAGGGAAAAAATTGAAGAGGGAAAGAGTAGTGATTATTATTTCAATCGATAATGCCAATAATTGTGGCTCGTTTTGTTTCATAATTTGAGGTTTTCGAATGGATATAATGGTGTCTTTTTTTTTTTTTTTTGTTTTTTTAGGACAATTTATGAATGTATTGATAAGAAGATCTGACTGCATGCTATGATTATTATTATTATCAATTATTTGCAAGGGATGAAACCGGAAATTTGAGGGAAAATATGTGGTGAAATAGGAAGAAAAAGAAGAAGAAGACTTCAGCATTGCATCTTTTTTAGAAGTGGTCGTTGAGTGCGACCAAACGATACAGCCAAAATTTTCCCATTTTTAGCACCCCTTAAGGGGCATTTATATACCTTTCATATTCGGTCAACACCTAATTCACCGGTCGAAGTCTGCTATAGTGAAAAAAAGCTGAAAAATGCTATTTCATTTGATAGATTAAGTGGTGGTACAGGAAGTGGTACCAGTGATATCGATGGTACTATTTCTGGCAGAACGACATCACAAATTGTTACGAAAAAATCGAAACCTATAACATCAACATCCGTATCACATGGGATATTATCAAAATCACCGGATAGGACAGGATCACGCTCCTCTACGTCCGCATCATCCAATGTTAGTCGCTCACCACGTCCGAGAAGTAAAGCAAGTAATACTTCACTGCAATCAATTAGAAGTATACTACAAGATAACACAATAACAACAACAACAACAACTACTACTACTACTACTACTTCAGCCGTATCATCGAAGCGTTTGGTCCGGAAAGGTTTAGATGTTTCACCGGCAATGCTGGAATTTTTTGGAATGAAACCAATTACGGGTCCAAATTCATGTTTTCAATTCATCGAAGAACGTGAATTACCACAATCCAAAAGAAACAAAACTGAAGGTAATAATCTTCCAGCCACTACGATTGGTGACGGTAATGCTGATCGATCGGATGAAATGATTAAAAATCGATATGTAAAAGGGAATGTGAAATATCTAGGAGAGCCAGGGCCTGAGCATTTGCCTGGAGTGGGAAATGCAACAAGGGATACGACGAGTGATGACTGGTTTACGGAAAATGAGGTTCAGATAATGATGAGTGAAAAAGAGAATGAGAAAGAGATGGAGTTAGGGCAAATGAAGAGTAGTAAATCAAGAGAAGAAATGAAACGATTAGCCAAGAATGGCTTAGGCTATGACTATCAACAAACCCATGAGCCTGGTCCGGAATATTTCAATAATGCAGTTGATGGTGAGGATAGAGGAAGTAAGATAGATGAGGAAGTACTGGAGAGCAATGGCTTACCAATATCGACAATAGGAGCTTCACTGGTAAGTCATGTTGCGCCAGCATGTAATATAGCAAAAGAAGGCGGGGGCATCGGAGGAGGCACATCGATGGTGACAACGAATGCGACAGCGGATGCGATGAAGTCATCAGTTGGAGGAGTAGCAGTAGCAGCAACAACAACAGAAAGAACGGCAACAACAATACCGGTGACAGGAATATCAATGGATTCCGGAAGCGGTGGCACATTTGGGGCTCTACTTATCAAGAGCGTGCAAATTATTAACGATGATTCAATCTTTATGGCAGATGTACTCATCCAAGATGGCATCATCCGGTAAAGGCTAAGTTAATTTCATTATCTAACTAAGAAATTTCCACCACTAATTGTATTATGCATGGGATGATACTTCTTGAATTTCACATTTGTAGTATTTAAATTCGGGAAAGATTAATTTAGTTAGACTGAATCATCTATTCGAATGATATATGGTTTCCTTTCTCCTTTAATTACAATTAGAACATGATAATTAAGACAAATTTGGAGTGAATATGTAAGTTTTATATTGCATACAAGGTTAAAAAAGCAATTTACAAGAAGAATAATTAAAATGAAATGTATAAGTTTAAAAAATAGCTAATTAATTGATTAATCATTGGTAAGCCTAATTTTTGCTGCATTATCCATTTCTACCAATGAAAATAATTAATATTGAGGGAGCTGTCGGGCAAGATCGAAGAACCGAAAGATGTACAGATTATCGATGGAACCGATAAAGCATTGATGCCTGCGGGTATTGAAATTTATACGGAATTTTCATCGCAAGATTCTGTAGATGACTTCGAAACCGGTTCAAAAGCTGCATTAGCTGGTGGCACTGCTACGGTACTTCATTGTATTCCCCTTCATTAATTAACACTTTAAAAAGAGTTTTTTTCCTTTCTGTGAAAATATAGGTTCATTGGTATTCAACGAGTGATAATATGTGATTTAATTCCCTGTAAGTTACATTATCATTTTTAATTAAAGATTGAATTTATTACGAAGTTTATATATACAAACGATTAAACTGGATTAACCATTTTTCATAATACTCCCAATTACTATAATTCCCTTTAATTTTTTAATTTTAAACTAATTTTAAATTAATTTTAAATTTTTTTTAAATCTGGATTTCTTAAATTGATTGTAAATTTTGAAAAATATTGGTAGTACCATTTCTTCCTCCCTCATTTATTATTTTATTACAGATAATTGATGTTATCCAACCAAGACCATATGAAACATTGATAAACGCATATGATCGTTTGTGCAAAGTTGCGCAATCAAAATCATCATGTAACGTTGCATTCAGTGTGGTAATTTCGGAATGGAATGATATGATAAGAAAAGAAATGAATACATTGGTACATGACAAAGGCATTAACAGTTTTATTATTAATGTTCAAAAAGATGAACAACTTTTTGAGGTTAATTCTTTGTTCATTTTACTTTTTTTTCTTTTGTATTTTGTATTTTCGTTTTTGTTTTCCCTTTGTCTATATTTTGCTTTTCTAAATTTCAAAATATAAAACTAGAAATAATTTAAGTATCGATGTTT